CGCTGAGATGCAGCCACCTCTGGGGTGGGGGCAGCTGCGGAACAGCCGTGCAGTTTTTCTTCAAAACAGTTTAAGACAGAAAGAGAAGGAGAATTCGGACTGGTTGATTACAGGGGTCGGGATTAAGGGAGGAAGAACAGAATTAGGCACAGACATAAGATCAGCACCTTACCTCTTTAGCTTGATTAAACCAGGAGTCCTGGCTCCCAGCCCCTTCTGCTTTAACCACTAGATCCCACTCCCCTCCCAGAGCTGGAGATAGAACCCAGGAGTCCTGGCTCCCAGCCCCCTTGCTCCCCTGATCCCGATCAATTACACTCTGAGTTCTTCCTCCTGTAGAAAAGTGCCCATTACCTTCACCGCGAGCTGCCCGTCCGCATCGCCCATCGCATCAAGGGCTTCCGCAGCCTCCCCTTCATCATTGGATGCAACCCCACCATCCTCCATGTGGTACGTACCTGAGCAGGGGCACAGCTGAGGGACACCGTGAGGGGGAAAGGGACATGGGGGAGCTGGCGGTTGTAGTGTGAGTGGGGTTAGAACCCAAGAGACCTGGCTACCGTCCCCCAGCACTAACCCACTAGCCCCCACTCCCCTCCCAGGGCTGGAGAGAGAACCCAAGAGTCCTGGCACCCAGCCACCCCTCCCCTCCCAGGGCTGGGGATAGAATCCAGGAGTCCTGGCTCCCAGCCACCCTTAATCTAACCCACTAGCCCCCACTCCTGTCCCAGAGCTGGGGAGAGAACCCAGGAGTCCTGTGAACCCTGCTGCCAGTCAGTGTTTCCCTGCCTCGCTTTACGCTTATTTGTTTTTCCATCCTTCAGCATGAGCTGTACATCCGAGCCTTCCAGATGCTGAGCGAATTCCCCCCGGTGAGTATTCGGTTACCTGCTGGCCCCCAGCACACAAAGCACTAGTTAAAATACGGGAACAGGTTATACGTTTGCTTCCCCCATCACCGACTGATCCTGGGCCTGGACCAATCGAGCGAAGGGTAGAATATCTGCAGGGAGGATCAGGATAACGTAGGTTATCACATCTCCATCCATCCAACCCCACACTACGCCATCCCTCCCTGTACACGCCATCCCTCCCTGTATATGCCATCCGGC